ACGTCCCGAATATCGTGATCGTACGTCGCGGTTAATATTTGTGCCCAACTGCTGACGCACGCACGCACGCCGTTCTTCTATATCTATGACAAAACGTCACCTGATGCATAGGTTAAATTATATAATTGAGTGGCAAAGCAGGTTACAACCCTTTTGCAGCTTTTTCACAATTCCAAGAAAGAGTTTTGCTGTCGCCCTCATCCCCGCGGTGGTAACCCTTACACATTGAATAATGAACGCGACGTGAATGAATGCCGTGATGTGATGTGATGTGCAATGAGTGATGTGTGTATTTTGAGCACACACAGTCCCACACGCACCCACACGCACCGGCACACGCATACGCTCGCTCGCGCGCACGCACGCACACAGAGAGGGAGAGAGAGAAAGAGACAGTTTAAGAATGTGCGGTAGTTCAACATGTCTTGATAATAAAACGAAAATTACATGACTAGTTATAGTGATCTTTAGTGATTACATCTTGTTGCTCATGAAGAGAATAGTTCTACTAAAAAGATAATTGTCGTAGTCAAAATTAATTAAGGCTGTACATTTACTCAAAAGTGCATCAAATACCATCTCCTGCGATCTACATTTTCAAAATTACATTACATGTGCATTTAATGCACACGTACATTACGTACATTATGTGCATTACGTACATTTACATGTGCGTTATTATATCAGGATCGAGTCCAGAATAAATAGATTGGTATTATATTTAACATTTCTGCTTATACTATCAACACAGTTATATTATATATGAAACCCATAGAGATCTATAAATAAATCTTATAAAATAAATCTATCTTATAAAATAAACCGTATTATAAATACATCTTTATAGATGTTACATCTTTATCTCTATGATGAAACCAGGAGACCTATATACTATGATGAAACCACACATTTTTCGCCCCTGCTAAGTCACGTGATGCAGAAGATTAATCATTGGTCAGCTTTCTGATTTACGTAGATTTGATGAAGTATGGCAGCGCCAGTCAGGTGCGTAACGACGAAAACAAGTTCCTTCTACACTTCTCGAATGTTGACGTTAACTAAGTAAATTATAAAAAATAGCATTACCACTATAATTTCTGCAAAAAGCTCGCAGTTAGGACATGAATCGGCTATTTGGGAGCTCAAAACCTAAGGCTCCGCCTCCTAATCTGACCGATTGCATCCAAAATGTGGATGGCAGGTCCGACTCGATCGAGAAGAAGATATCGAAACTAGACGTAGAACTACACAAGTATAAGGAACAAATGAAGAAAATGAGAAACGGTCCGTCTAAAAACATGGTCAAGCAAAAGGCAATGAGGGTGCTGAAGCAAAAGCGTATGTACGAACAGCAGAGAGACAGCCTAATGCAGCAGTCTTTTAATATGGAACAAGCAAATTACGGGATACAAAGCCTGAAGGTGGGTCGAAATAGCTGATTGCATATTGACTCACTGCCACTGGTAGGAACACAGGCACTTGAAACGTCTCAATAAAAAAAATGAATGGTAAATAAACATGAAATGTACCAAAGTCTTAATGTTTCTCTACTTTATTTCGCCTATAATCACCTGTAAATGCCAGTCAAATGCTCATATGCAACACAGAAGTACACCGCACGCCCGCCCTTAGATACAATAATGTAAGTTGTAACCCAAACCCAAGAGGATAGGTGGGGGGCCCTATCCTCTTGGGTTTGGGTTACATTATTGTATCTAGCCTGCCCTGTGCTGCGTGCACAAGCAACATGAATAAGAGAGATTCATTCCTCTCTTATTCATGTTGTTTGTGCACGCAGCACAGGGCGGGCGTGCGGTGTACTTGTGTGTTGCATATGAGCATTTGACCGGCATTTACAGGTGATTATAGACGAAATAGAGTAGAGAAACATTAAGACTGGTACATTTCGTGTTTATTTACCATAATTATTTTTTTTTATTGAGACGTTCCAAGTGCCTGTGGGTAGGAAAGTGACATGCGTCTAAACAGAGGAATTGCTCCGACCTGTGATTGGAGGATAAAAATAGACCCTGCACACTCCCGCCGCATACGCTAATATTATGCTATGACCGGTAGGAACGTGTACTAACTATCATATGGAGTGAACGATTTGAGTTACAGCTGCGTTCACACGAGGATTTCAGTACCGTACTTAGCGTTCACACGGTAAAAATATTCAAGGCTTATACGCGGCCTCTCAAGTACCGTACTGAAATACGAGGCTTGTTTGGCGCGGAAAGTGATTCCTCGCTGAAACACCCGCTTGAGTACGACACCACGCTGACCGCGTATTGTCTGTAGTGTGAACGCAATTTGAGGCCTTGTAAGCCGTGAAACTGTAGTGCGCTACATTAATACTAGGCGGCGGAGTCTCGTTTTTCACTTCCGCATCATGCCATTGAAAATATTTCTCAAAATTTCCTTTTGATAATCGTGTTCATCACCAAAGCATTCGTAATTTCCATCTGGATCATCATTTTGTGTAATTTTACTGAAAAATTGCCACAAACAACTGACTTTCATGGGCGCCGCCATCATGAAAGACACTTCCCTCTAGCGGAGAAATTATTTACTATTATACCTAGCCAGCTAAGCCTCGATTCTCGTGGGAACGCTGCGGGTTGTGTTAGCACGGTAGTATTTCAGCTGAATTCAGCACCAGATAAGTACGGAACCAGCAAGGCCGTGAATCTCGTGTGAACGTAGCTAGTGACAAATGTCTTAGCCTTAATCTCTGTGCATTTTGAGTCTATTGAAGCACGATTAGTCTAATTAATTAGCAAATATGCACGCGCGGTATCGCTCATAGGCTAATATACGCGCGGCTATGACCGGTGAAACAAAACGTCACGAATTCTATTTTTATCCTCCAATCACAGGTCGGAGCAATTCCTCTGTTTAGACGCATGTGGAAAGTGTATTTGCGCTTAACATTTTAAAATGTTTAATTCTTTGTCGATCATTTCACATTGTGGTAGCCCAGTACGCGATACAATATCGTAACCCTGTTTCTAAGCAGCTCAAATGCTTTAACAAGAACCACAATGTCATCATTTCCAAGTTGCAAGCATAGGCATGACTTTTGAACATACAATTTTTAAAAGGGGGCATGATTAAACATGTTTTTTAAATATTTAAATGCATACATAAAACAAGCCACGCTTGTGCTGATCCACCGAGTCCCAAATGCTGGAGATTTGACTACTGAACTTTTATTCATGCATTATTTATAGATTATACATTACACACTCAGTATTGTTTTACGCATTATATGTTGTTCTTCTTCATGCTTAAAGATGCATTCCCATGAACATTTTTGTGGCAAACCACTGTAAAAACGCAAGTAAATAACTCACTACACTTTAACTGAACGTTAGCTTTGAAAATAAAACTGTAAAAATGTGTATCAAGCCTAGATTCGCTCAACGAAAAGACGACTCGAAAAATGAGTTTCGCCGCGGTTCTGTATCATGGCGGCAAGAGTCGACGCAGGTCACGTAACCTGCACAGCTATAGATATCATATAACACGTGCTATATAATATCTATGAGCATATGCAGCCTTCATGACCTTCAGCGCTTGGCAACACCTCATGGCAACAAGAGACGCGTCACAACATCGCCGCAGAGCAGCAAAAGTAAATGCTGTTTGAAACGTTTGACCCGACACTTTCATTTTGTAGTCTAAAAGCTGTGAATAAACGTATTCCTGAGCAATTTTTTTACCTATCACACATATATAGGCAAGTACAAACGTGCAATGTTAAAATAATTTTTTCCCCCTGATATTATGTTTGCAGCTTGAAACTTTGAGGGGAGGCACCTGTAAGAGTTGGCATGTATTATATGGCACCTACTTGTTATATGTTCCTGGACGTTTTTACGCAAGGAAAAGCCAGTGCTATCATTAATTTTACCTTGCAGTATTCTAAATTGAGCATGGCGATTTCTAGCACCAGCTCGGATTGTTTTGTCTTGGATAAGTTTTAACTATAAAGACAGAATTACAACTATTTCTCAGTAATTTTAGTTGTTAGTTTCAAACTGAACTATGGACCTTTAGGTGGTAGGTGATAAATAAAAGACAGGATTCTAGTTAGGCAAGGCAAGATTAGTGAGGCAAACACAAATCTAGTTTTTAGCCTAAATATTCAAACAGTGTCTGTCACATTGACATTTTATACAAAGGGACCTAGTTCAGCCATACAGGGATGTGGTTCAACTTGGTTAGGTATGAGGGCTTAAGCGAAAAATGGTTGCCAAACGGACTACCCCAGGCCTTTAACGTATGTTGGGTCTGGCATGCCTTCAAACCTGAAGTGAATTTGCAAAATCTCATAAATTGCTTAATCGACATGCCTTATTTTACAGCTGTGCATTTTAATATTTATGTTTATATTTCGTTTTAATATTCTCCTCGTCCTTAGGTGAAATTTAAGTGTTCAATTGACTACATCACGAATTTTCTATGGTGTATATTTGTAAAGTTTTTGTTGCATTTTTTTCCATTAAAAGTAAGTACTAACAGGCTAAATGTATCCTCAAATTCTTACCTGATAAGATTGCTTTTCAACAAATTAAAAATCCAAAAAAACCTGGGCGATTTGCTACATTGATGACGACATTAAAAATGCTTGCTATGGGCTATGTATGACTATGAGTCACAAGTGTTTGTTCACATCGAACGGAATAGCAAAACAGGAAGTATAATACAGCAATTTAACCATAAAAATTGAACAGATTCACATATTTTGTGTGGAAATAATTTTTAAAATTTTACTATTTACTGTGACGTAATCACTTTCAAACACGACAGTAGGTTGTTAAATTGTAAAAAATCTAGATATCAGGAAAGACTTCTCCCTAATTCGTCTATAAACTACGTTCCTTCTGAAATCCCTGGGCAAAAACCCTGTGACATTGTGTTGTCAATGTACTTTAACTTATTTCTTACACAGTGTGTGTGTGTGTCAGGATTGAGCCGCATGTCTTCTGCATTTACGCGGATAACAAATTCTCCCGTTTTCTTGACAAGGATACCAAAGTCACTGTGGATGCGATGAAGATCGCCAACAAGGAAATGAAGAAAGAATACAAGAAGGTTAACATTGATCAGATAGAGGACCTTCAAGATGACATGACAGACATGCTAGAATTAGCAGACGAAGTACAGGAATCGCTCGGCCGGTCCTACGGCATGCCAGAGATTGATGATGATGAATTGGAGGCTGAGCTTGATGCACTTGGTAGGTATAAGTGACTGGCTACTGAAGTGGGTGATTACATGATATAGCAAACTTTCTGTTTCTAAATGTTTCCCCTTAGATTCAGAAACATTAATAAGCTGCTGATAGTGACAGTTTGCTGACCATGTTTTCACATTCAACATGGTGAAATTTCATGTTAATGGGGCCATCTATAAAAAATTCTATGGTTGCTGTCCCCTGACCCATGATTTTTTTAGTGGGTAGGTAGGTAGGTCATTTTGTGTGTGTGAGGCATAATAGTTATTTTAAGTCTGTCCTCATGTTTGCCACACATGCTTTGTGTTTCAGTCTTAACTATGAAAAATGTTTTTAAAAAAATGGAAAAAAAAATGTGGAACCCAAAATGTCAAAAAAAACTTTTGGGTCGCGGCTATTTTCGTGGGTCGGTCGGAGGACAGCAAACATAATTTTTTAAGAATGGCCTTATGCCGTTGAGATTTATTATCTGGACGGAAATTTTTTTGATCTCTGTGCTATCGGTTGTTCATGCTAGCAGTACAGTAAATCACGTTCGCCTGGAAATCGTTGTGGAATTTTTCCAATCGCATGGTATTGAAGCTACTCTATCGCACACATCGTGCAATTGATTGCCCCCCCACCCCCCGATCGAGGTGCACAGACGTAAACGCATTCCTGCATTTCTGTTCGAACAGGGGACGAGATCGCGCTAGACGAAGACACGTCGTACCTGGACGACGCAATCACGACGCCGAGCGTACCGAGCAAGGAGCCGGGCGCGGACAGTGTCGCCGTCGGCGAGGGCGGAATCCCGGTGGATGAGTTCGGTCTGCCGCAGATCAGCTCGTGATTGTCGCGCCGTGACCGCGCCGGCGGCGTGCAGTATAGGAAGACGCTGCACACCGTGGCGTAGATGTATGGTCAAACCGGTGGTAGCTCCCACCTCCATAGAATGGCCACCTGTCTATAAAGGCCATATTGGCATTTTCCCTCGAGTGGCAGTAACAGTAAAACCACTTCTGTAGAATGCCCTGGAGTGGGAAAGACTGCTTCCCACAAGTAACTGTTCTATACAGGTTTGGTTGTACATTATAGGGATGTTACAGAACTCCTGAAACATGAAAACCTAACTGGAGCTTACCGTAGTAGATTTTCATAATTTCGTGTTTTTAAATGGAAAAATCTGCCTCTATTTGTCTACTTCTGTGACTAAATCAAAGTGAACCAATGTCTAGCTAATCTATTATCCCATAGATCTATATTCTAGACAATCATTCAGTTTGTTAGATGTGTATGTGGCTTCATCATATAATATATATATATAGATATAGATAGATACATTATAATTATAATGTGAAATTGATTTTTAACGTTATGGTATTTTTTTTCCATGTACTATTTTTTACAAATTCTTGGCATTTTTGTTTGTAAATGTGTATCTGTCGTATCAGAAATTGATCATTTGATCATTACAAATTGCAATGATCTACTTCTATTCATATGCAGGCAGTTTGTAAAGTCAGGGCAGAATTAACTCCCTGGCAGGATATCTGATGAATTAAGCTTCGAAGTTGTGAATATTGACCTGGGTTTGGAAATCATCTCATACTCTATTCATAGCATGTACATGTCCCAACGTGGTGTAATCAGAAGCCGGCGTAACATCTTGAACGAACCACAGATGTTCTAATAAAGTATTGCAATCTTGTGGCATGCAGTAAAGCATACAAGCATCATTTTGTCGATAAACACATGGTGTATCTGCCGTTTGTGGTTCTTGTTTTTTTCTGGAGTGCATAAAAGATTCTCAATTGTATATTGTAATTAAGCAAATTTGACAAATAAATATTAGTTAGTAACCTATACCGTTTGTTGTTCAGTATAACTATTTTATTACAATAATATGCTCATGCCTAAGAGCTTTACTGGCATTTTTTGCATTTAAATTGGAATGTAACAGTGTCATTAAGAATTATATAAGAATAGATCCTTTCTCACCCCTCTTCCCCTTCCTGTTCCTTATTCCTTCTCCTCTTCCCCCTCCTGTTTCTTTTTCTCCTCTTCCCCCTTTCTGTTTCTTCTTCTCCTCCTTCCCCTCCTGTTTCTTCTTCTCCTCTTCCCCCTCCTGTTTCTTCTTCTCTTCCCTCTCCTGTTTCTTCTCCTTATCTTCCTCCTCCTCCCCTTCCTGTTTCTTCTTCTCCTTATCTTCCTCCTCCTCCCCCTCCTCTCCCCTTATCTTCCTCCGCATCATCATTATCACACTTTTTCTATTGTAATATTTGTCTCTATTATCTCCTCCTTTCCCCCTTTTCACTTTCCTTTCCCTAAATATCTCTTCCTCTATTTCACACACTATCTCTATCATCCCCGTTCCCTATATACACAACTATTATTTCTTATACAATCTCGGGTATGATGCTTTGCAGTAGTGCTTCTACTTTAGCTACGATAGCTTTATTATATGACTGACCTGGCCATGAATATTTTTCTACAAGGGGTACTTTGGAAAACAACATCAGGAGGTAATAGAAACATGTTTTTGCTCCTGATTTCATCCATCACATTTGTTCTCAATGAAAATTACGGTATTCCGTACATGATATTGTATTTGAATTATGCAATAAAAATTTTAATTATCATCATAATAATAATAATAAATTAGAGCGTCTACATGAAAGAACCCGCTTAACGATATCAAGAGTAGATAATAACTCTTGAGAGTTATTATCTACTCATGACGATATGTATAACGATTTCTAACGTTTGCTCCGTTTAGTCAGAGATGGCGCTGCGGCTGCAGCTATTGGCCAATCAACATCTGTCTTTCAGGAGGTGTTTTCAAATGGAAAGTATTTGTTTTTGTGGGCAGATAAAAAGTCATTTATCATTATTATTGTTTTAATGTTTACCCGCAATAATGAAAGTAATTGACGATTTAGAAGACAGAGAGTGTCTGCTTGAAATAGTGGTTCAGGATTTGAAGTTGTACGGGATAAAAGTGCCACGCGTAAAGAAGACGCTATCGAGAAACAAACTCACGGTAAGCTGCTTGCTTACTGCTTTGTAGGCTACTGCACGAAGGGTCGTTGTCGTCTCAGTAGCTCTGCCTCTAGTACTATAGCCCGCGTACAGTTGCGTTTACGTATATAAAAACCTGAGCACTTGATTGCCAAGCCAGTGGAAACTATCGTAACTATGTTCATACTCCTACTACTACTAGTATTGTCACTATATTGATAAGCTCTAGTATTAGTAACTATAGCCCGCGTACAGTTGCCGCAGGCAGCCTGCGGCAACTGTACGCGGGCTATAGTCACTAGAGCTATATATTGATCAACTTGTCCCCATCTCCCTCCCCCCTTCCCCTGCGACCCTTGTCCCATGTCCATGTCCATGTCCATGTCCATGTCGCTCCATCTGATCATCTGATGGACTTACGAGGTTACGAGTCAACTACTCAACTAGTGACAGTGTCACACTCCCATTAGTAATACTAATAGTACTAATAGTAGTACTACTAGCAGTAGTAGCGATACCAGCCTAATGATGTCATTTTATTACAGGAAACCAAGAGCTGTAACAATGCAGTGTTTGGGAATTCTCTGTGCAACATAACCAGTGTTGTTGTTGATGATGTAGGAACGTGTGTGCCCAGGTATACGAAATAGTTTATATGCATAAATATATAGCTGTTTATGTACCTTAGCCTATGCTGGTATAAATGCGTCTTTCCACTTAAATCATGCCATCAAGCATAAGAGCAGACAAAAGATAATTAGTTTAAGGATGTATATCTGTAAATAACTGTAAATGCCTGCACATGCATAACAGACACCAAATTCTCAGGCTTATGTTCATTCCCAGCTTTTTAACTGTGAACTCACACTTAATGGCACGAGTTAGAAATGACATGTTGTATTTGCCGAACGGATGAACAGAAAAAGATGAACAGAACTCATGATTCTCGGAGAAGGATGCGTCTATTTGACGCTGGGATGGCAGTACAAATAGTGGAGACTTCCATCATTGATTGACGTAATCCTTTTTTATAGGTTTCTGCATGAGGCTGTAAGTTTCATAGAGGAGCACATCACCACAGAAGGAATATTCAGGAAGTCTGGCTCGCAGCTTCGTCAGCGACAGCTGCGGGTGAGTGTCTCTATGCACTCATGCTCATCGCACGCGCTATAGCTCAATGGCTTCGTGTGATAAGGTGGTTTTAAAAACGCACATCGGGTGGAAGCAATGGATCTGTGTTATGTAGCAATGGTCCAGGCTTCCGCTATGTACATGAAGGTATTGGCAGTAGACTTGCATCGCGTGGAGGTGAGTCAGGCCTTCCTTTCACACACAGGATAGTGCAGTGCCAGTGGATCTGCATCATGTAGAGACGGTCCATGCCACCTTTCCTTCATATGTGTCTTGTACTGCATATACATCATGCGCTGTTCCACGTGTGTTGCAAATGTGGTTATAGTGGCAGCAGGTATCTGCACGGTAACAATACAGTATTCAATTGGTGACAGATTGCACAGGGAGCATGCATGTATTCATACTGAGTGCACGTTGTAGCATTCGTCATAATGCGGATAGCACGTGTGCATCGATCTGTCATTGTTTGTAGTAAAATTGCATGCAGATACTAGTACTACATTCTACTTAAAGTATTATTAACATAAATTTAATGATATATGCAAGGCTTAAGGCCAGAAGAGCTCTGTACCAAATGTCTTATATGAAGAAATATCTCATATAAGGACACTTGCTATTTTAAACCTTTTACCATACGTGCACAGAACTGCACGCATACACAAAACCACACTAATACACACACATTCTTCTGTTTTATGCTGCATCTGACATGATGATATTGTGCATTATTAAGTTTACTTATACACCAATCATGCCACCCCTATGTACTAAAAACTTTCCAGCGTTTTACTCGGATATATTTGAACCCTAAATGACCGATGTGTCTTGTGCAGGAAAAACTGGACATAGGTGACCATCTACCCAAAGACTGCCAGGTGTTCGACGTAGCAACGCTATTCAAGGTGTTATTCCGTGAGCTTCCGGAGCCTCTTATATGTCGCCACCTGCACGATGGCTTCGTCAGGTGCCTCGACCTGGAGAGAGAGGAGAGGGCGGCCAGTACCCTGCTTCTCTGCGCCCTCCTCCCTATGGCTCATCGCAGCGTGCTGAAGTACACGATGCAGTTTTTGCGCAGGGTAAACATGACAGCCAATCCTCAGGGGAGATGATATAGTGCTCATTCGTTTTGCTAGTATTATAGGGCTACTGCTATATAGTATTATAGCATTCGTTTTGCTAGTATTATAGTGCTATAGTATTATAGCATTCGTTTTGCTAGTATTATAGTGCTATAGTATTATAGTATTCATTTTGCTAGTATTATATAGCAATCGTTCTGCTAGTATTATAATGCTGTAGTATTATAGTATTCGTTTTGCTTGTACAGTAGTACTATAATAGTATTATATTATATCAAGAGTAGATAATAGGATCCTCCTATTATCTACTCTTGATAATTGATTATATTTAACACACGTCGCCAGGGCATTTCTGCGATCTTTGCAGTTATTGGTGATAATATATTGATCTATAGATTAGTATTGATGTGTTAATTTTTGTCCCGCAGGTTGCATCGCACTCTGCGCAGAATAAAATGGATTTGTATAACCTGGCTGTTGTCATGGCACCAAACCTGATGCGAACAGACGACAAGCCGGCATCGCCGCGGCTCTTTCAGCAGCAGACAGACGTGGTAAACCAGCTGTTCACTGTTGCTGGTGACATTGGGAAGGTAGTTATTATCATCGATTGGCATCGGGTGATAAAATGGCAATTAAAAATTTATTTTTTAGAATCACAAAGTCAAAGGGATATACTCTGTGATGGTCTCTGGATTCAGTCACACATTGCTTACTGGTAGTTGAGAATACGATTAAAGAAAAAATGTATTAAAATTTGCGCTCTGTAAGGTTTCAGATTCCCTTTAGTTTAAGTGCACTGTTGGGGGCAATTTTCCCCCATAGTGCACCTCTAACTTGCATGTTGTCCTAAATTTCTAATTACACGCAAGGCAACACTTACCCTGCCCTGAGATAAATTGAAAAATTCGGAGCATGTTAGGTTTCAGACAGCGTCCATGACCGAGCACAGCAGCTGGCGCGGTGGAAGTCCGAGGAGGACCTCAGTCGCAGTCCCACATATAACGAGTCGGCTAAGAAACACAGGAGCGGTTCCTTCGGCGGTGAGTGAACGTATACGTACGGCGAAGGGCATGCAAGTTACATGCTGGCGGTGGTTCTTATTAAACCGCTAGATCGAACTCCCAGAACTTGGATGGCTAGCTACATAGGAAAGGGAAAAGTTACTGTCGCTAACAGTGTTTGGTAAACGTGGTAAGGTTTGTTTGTTGTGGAGCAATAGTGCCTGCACCTGGTAGGCACTAAGATATACAGTTCACGAACTATATGTTTCAGCACAGTGGTTTGTAACCCCGCGGGTCGAGATTGCAAAACCTGGATGCCAAGGGTGACCTGGGAGTATCTAAACTCGTCATTAGTGTTATATTTTGTTAAATATATTCTATCTATAAACTTGTCGTTTATTGTCGAACAGCATCTATACCAGGCTGACGCCGAGATATAGTCCAAAGGCTGAAAATTGGATCGTAGTCAAAAAACGTTGGGAACCATTTCTAATACTTTCAACAACTTAAAAATTCAGGGACTGGTTTATTTGAATTTTTCGATATATTGCTTATAGGCATAGTAAACAGCTTCAAACACTGGGGTCGGCGTGGCAACAAAACACCGGGAGGTGCTGGGTACATGCAGAA